ATAAACATTTGCCACCCATGGGAACTGATAATGAGAGAGTAAAATTTTGCATGACCAGCAGGCCTAAAAAAAGGCAAAGAGCACAAAGTACCCACCATTTGCAGAGGACATAAAATGAATTTTAAACATGTGTCCCTAGAGCAGAATGTCCAACTCCTCTCATTATGCTGTATGCAATTGGCTTAATCTTCAGAAATGCTCACAACTGGGACCTTTGATGTGCTTGGTTCCACTGAAAATGAGGAGGGATGCTTAGCTGGAAAAAATTAATTAGAGTCCTTTGTTAATGAGATAACCTGAGCCAAGATTCCAGTATAACCACACTGCATATATGAGTTTGTGGCAGTTATAAAAAATTAATAATTTAATAAGTTTAGAGATAATTTTTATTATGTGAAATCCTGCACATCCAGCGACCATTTATTTTCCACCTTAACTCTTATAAATTGACATCTTAATTATTTTGACCAAATATACTGGAGGTGCAAGATAAAAACAAAGCAGCTGCACATCTAATTGAGCATTTTGCCAAAAATACTGTAACTTTCAGAAGAAAGCTCACAGTCATCTAATCATACAAAAGTACTATAAACCTAAACAGCTTCCTAATCTTTTCACTTGAGCATTCCCCTGAGATGAGTGAATTAATAATTCTTGTAATTACTGGGACATAAAATATAACAACAGATGTCTATATTCACTTGTCTAAAGCTCTTAGAAAATTACAAAATTTTCTGTCTCTTGAAGTTTATTTGCTGTGAGTTGTGTAGATTGATTCTTCATTACACTAAATATGATTACCCCTTCTTGACCCAAGTAGTGAGCAGTAATTGCGGGTCCTAAGGTGTTGGTTTTGATACTGAGAGGAAAAAAAACCTGTTGAATAATCAGTCATTTCTTTGATGCAAACCTGTCTGATCCCTTATTGGAAGGAAACCGGAATATCTCCCCTTTCTGCTTTGTTGCTTCATTTTGTTATACTCTGCCTTCGCAGAGCCATACTCACCCTTTTTTCTTCTGACTGTATCTCCAGCTTCTTCTTCTTTGTTTATCTTTTTAATGCTTCTTTCTCACATCTAGGCATATACACTATTAAAAAAAAAAAACAACGCCCAACAACCCCGCCTCCCCCCGAAAACTCCTGGGGCAAGGGGGCAAAAATGGCCCCCTTTTTTTTTTTTTTTGAGCCTGTGATTGGGTGATGTATCTTCTGCCTCAAGTAGCAGATTCCTCTGAGACTTGGCTGCTTTTCATGGTCTAGCTGAACAGAAAGCTATCACCAGGCTTACTGACATAACCATATCAATGCAGTTCTAGTTGCATTTCACAGCGTTTTCAACTTCCAGTTATCCTTATATTAAGTAAAAATGGTCTGCTTTCCTTTTTACCATGGACTCTTTTACTTTCTGGAAGGGTCTTGCACCATTCACTTCTTTTCAAATATGTGTCTCCTCATGGTTTACAGAATCACAGAATATTCTGAGTCAGAAGGGATCCACAAGGATTATCTAGTCCAACTCTTAGCCCTGCACAGGACCATCCCCAAGAATCACACCATGTGCCTGGAAGCATTGCCCAAATGCTTCTTGAGCTCTGTCAGGCTTGGTACTGTTTAGACTTCTTTCCTTTAGTGACATCTCATTAGTGATTTTTTGCCTATTCTACCTTTGTGATACTTTTAGGTATCTTTTTGAGACAAGGAAAACTGAATGAACTTACTATTTCCACCTTTAATTAAGAGTATCTATGGTTGTTCGGTGCTCTGGACAACATTAGCTTTATCCATAGAGATGGCAAGGAACTCTATGTGCATTTGAGGAGGAGATACGGCATGGTTCACCTTTCAATGACACCACTTCTCTCACCTTCAACTGTATTTAGAGTATTTCTGCTCATAAAACTGATGCAAGTTATATTTATATCTTGTCTACCTAAGTGTTTACATATTAAAATATTGTTAATTATCAACGATGACAGTGTGTCTGGTCCTCCTCTGGAGATAGACTATTACTATATGTTCATTAGCAGTGTTGTTAATGAGATAATGCTCAATATACTGGGCGTCTCAGTAAAGTTGACACCCATTATCTAATATTGGTTTCCTTTTAAGGGGAAAAGTGAGATTTAGGAATTCAACTGAGATGTGGTACCCAGTGGTTCCAGCTCCTGGTCTATTAGCTATATTTTTTTCCCTAGGCTAACAACTGCAAGGTAGTTAGGGTTTACAAAGGGAACCCCAAGCAGATTGTTGACTTTCAAGAAATGTTTAAAGAGAAGCTCCTCTTATTATACACAATGGAATATTGAACCAAGTGTTGAAGATTCACATTTTCCAAACAGCAGATCTTGGTTTACCTCATGGAATGTTTTGTGTCCTTCATATCCCACCTGTTTATACACTGACTTTGCAGATCCCAGTTTTCCAGGCTCCATAGGGTAATGCTATTTTCATTCAACCTTCTACCATTCAGACCAAGACTAACACAGAGCATGATCAGAATATTCATGATCCGTGCTGGCGGAAAGGCTGCAGCCCCCTCGTCCCTCCTCGCCTTGCTGCCCTGCCCTGGCAGCTGGGTCGGGCTGGGCTGAGGAAAGCAGGGTCAGACAACAGTGATTTTGGCCTGAGATACCACAAATAACCTGCGATTTGTGGTTAAATCGGGTATTCAAAGAAAAGAAAACAACAAAAAGGCCATCAGCTGCAGTGGCAGCGACAGCACAGCTAGGGCACCTGCTGAAAACCTGCTGCGTTACATGGGCTGGTGGTAATTTATTTAAGTTGCATGGTTACCCTTGGCATTTGCTGGCCATAATGCAAGCTGTTCATTTGCATTTATGGACAGACAGTAGAGGTTATCAATCCCTTCTAGCAGAAATTAAGCTCAGAACTTCGAGCAACTTTTGAGTCCTGTCTTAATAATAAGTGCCAAGGAAAACAAGGTGCCTAGGGAGCACAACACAAGATAATGTAAAAGTGCAGAGTTGGTATCAAAAGGTGCAGAAATCCAGATATCAAAAGTCATCACTTTTAAGACTTGAAGTCTTAGTTTCAATACGACAATTTTTATGAATTTGGAATCTTTAAACCCAAATTTTTTCCTTCCACCCTACCCAAATTTTCCTGGGCAAGTGTCCTGCGCCGGACCGAAGCTGTGCCCTGACTCCACAGGTTCCCACTGCCTGTCAGACGGCTCTCCTGCCTCCCCCAGCGATGAGCGGAGAGGATGCAAAATACTCTAACCCCACTCAGAAAGGGGCGAGCTGCATCCCGAGCCCTGGCTACACCCCAAGCCCTACCGGCTGCCCGCACTCCCCGCCGCCCAACCTGTTGCCCGGGCTCCAGCATCACACGCCAAGCGCAGAGGGACGGCCGGGGACAGGAGAGGGCGAGAGGGTGCAGCCCACGCGTGGCGAGCCCGGCTCGTGGAACCGCTGCCCGCCCGTGACAGGGGCAGGGAACACAGCGCCCTGCCCCGCTGCCCGCCCGCGACAGGGGCAGGGACCGCAGCGCTCTGCCCCGCTGCCCGCCCGTGACAGGGGCAGGGACCGCAGCGCCCTGCCCCGCTGCCCACCCGCGACAGGGGCAGGGACCGCAGCGCCCTGCCCCGCTGCCCGCCCGTGACAGGGGCAGGGAACACAGCGCTCTGCCCCGCTGCCCGCTCGCACGGCCCCGCATCGGCGCCGAGCTTTCCGTACAAACTCCCGTCGTGGGGAAAACCTTGCCGAAGCGGAGCAGCGGGTGGCAAACGAGCGAGCTGCGGGGCTACGGGGCCGTCTCCGGCGGCGATTTCTGTCCCCTCGGCGCCTGTCCGCGCTCCCCGGCCCCACGTTTGCCCGCACCCTCGCCCGCTGCCCCCGCGTTCGCCCCGCAGCTCCGGTCCCCGCCCCGGCGGTCCCGGCGCTACCCTCAGCGCTCCTCGGCAGCCTCGGCGGTCTGCGAGAGGGAGCGGATTTTAAAGCGGGCTGCGTGCCTGCCCCCCCACCCCGTCCGCCCCCTCCGCACGCAGGAAAAGCAAAGGGAAAAGTTGCGCTCTCCGGCCGCCCACGCCTCGCTGTCCGCCCGCGGCGGCGGCAGGACGAGCCCGGCGGCGGCGGCGCCGGTGCCGGTACCTGTGCCGCCGATGCCCTGCCGGGAGCTCTCCAGGGGGAAGATGCCGGCGCACTTCTCCCGCTCCACCTGCCCGCCCAGGCACAGCTCTGAGATGATCTGCAGCGCCTTGTGGCAGAGGCTGCCCACGCCGTCCTCCGCCGGGAAACTCATCTTGCGGCCCGGCCGCCGCCGCTAGGCCATGGTCGGCGCGGGACGGCTCCGCGCCCGACCCGCGCTGCCTCCCGCGGGGAGCGGAGCGGCGGCGGCGGGAGCGGCGCGAGTGCACCGAACAAGTAGTGAAGGAGCGGGGGGAGGCAAAAAAAGAAAAAAAAAAAGGGGGGGGGGNCAGCGCCCTGCCCCGCTGCCCGCCCGTGACAGGGGCAGGGACCGCAGCGCCCTGCCCCGCTGCCCGCCCGCGACAGGGGCAGGGACCGCAGCGCCCTGCCCCGCTGCCCGCTCGCACGGCTCCGCATCGGCGCCGAGCTTTCCGTACAAACTCCCGTCGTGGGGAAAACCTTGCCGAAGCGGAGCAGCGGGTGGCAAACGAGCGAGCTGCGGGGCTACGGGGCCGTCTCCGGCGGCGATTTCTGTCCCCTCGGCGCCTGTCCGCGCTCCCCGGCCCCACGTTTGCCCGCACCCTCGCCCGCTGCCCCCGCGTTCGCCCCGCAGCTCCGGTCCCCGCCCCGGCGGTCCCGGCGCTACCCTCAGCGCTCCTCGGCAGCCTCGGCGGTCTGCGAGAGGGAGCGGATTTTAAAGCGGGCTGCGTGCCTGCCCCCCCACCCCGTCCGCCCCCTCCGCACGCAGGAAAAGCAAAGGGAAAAGTTGCGCTCTCCGGCCGCCCACGCCTCGCTGTCCGCCCGCGGCGGCGGCAGGACGAGCCCGGCGGCGGCGGCGCCGGTGCCGGTACCTGTGCCGCCGATGCCCTGCCGGGAGCTCTCCAGGGGGAAGATGCCGGCGCACTTCTCCCGCTCCACCTGCCCGCCCAGGCACAGCTCTGAGATGATCTGCAGCGCCTTGTGGCAGAGGCTGCCCACGCCGTCCTCCGCCGGGAAACTCATCTTGCGGCCCGGCCGCCGCCGCTAGGCCATGGTCGGCGCGGGACGGCTCCGCGCCCGACCCGCGCTGCCTCCCGCGGGGAGCGGAGCGGCGGCGGCGGGAGCGGCGCGAGTGCACCGAACAAGTAGTGAAGGAGCGGGGGGAGGCAAAAAAAGAAAAAAAAAAAGGGGGGGGGAGGGAAAAAAATAAAAAGAGGGGGAAAAAAATAAACATCCACTTAGCAACGCCTTTTGTGGCTCCGGGCTCCGGCAGGCGGCTCGGCCAATGGCAGCCCGGCGCGGGGGGCGGGGGGCCCTTGCATCCCCCGGGAAACTTTTCCTTCCCCCGCCCCGCGGTCCCGCTCGGTGCCATGCGGTGCGGTGCGGTGGGCGGGAGCGGCGGGCGGAGCGCTGTCCCCTCCCGGCCGCAGGAGCGCCGGCCCCGCGGGGCAGCGGGGACAGCTCCCAGCGCGGCTCCTCGGTCGCTCATCGCGCCGCCATCGCCGAGCAGAGCTGCTTCCCCACCGCTCGGCTCGCTTATTCCGAGGTGACCTCGGCGGGGTGATCTTCAGCGCGGGCTACCGAGCCGCGTCGAATAACTTCATTGACCAAATCACCATCTCCACCCCGCTTCTCCGCAGCGGAGGCAGCGGGACTGTTGATTCTGTCGATTTCTTTAACTTCTAAAGGAGTTAGGGGAACTTTACGCTTATCTGGTCTGTTTCCGCAGCAAATTCTGTAATGTTGGGTTATTTTATAGATAAAAAAGTTGCAGCTACGGGGTATGTTTGAATATACTTCTAAAAATCAGCGCAGCATATACCACTAGTGGTTGTTTCAGTTATTGGCTGTGGACTGAACAAGACTTCATCTGTTAACTTGTTCATCTGCTTACTGAAATTCTAACACAATTTTATGTTTGTGAGGGAAAATTCCTCTAGTTCGGTGGCATACATATGTCTTGCAATGTTAATTCTAACTAAGCATAGCCGGAAGGATGCCTGCCAGCAGTTTACTTAGCAGCACTGCCTGTAGTCTGCTGCTTGGGTGTCTTGGTTTCATAGGCAAGAGAAGTTAACTTCTGTGCTTTGTTTCCCCTCTGGATTTTGAATTTTTTATCTGTTACCTGTAAATAAATATCTCTAGCAAACTATCAAGTTTAACAATTGATAACTTTATAACCATTCTTTGACAGCTGAATTACGGAATAAGAAAATTAATTATTATTCCAGTTTTAATTCTGGAATTCTATACTTTATATAGCATAGATTCTTGTTAAAAACACAAGAAGATACTTCTAAACCCCAGCCTTTTGGTACTTTGAAGGAGCACATTTATACAGATTAATTCCTTCACGTGTACCTTTCAAAATCTTAGGAAATTAATAGATTGAGTTGTACACAAACTGTAACATCAACACAAAATCTGTTTCACAAAGTTTTTTTTCGTAGATATATCACCTATTTCAGAAATATCAGATGCTACTAAAGAAATTGTTCCCCGTTTAACGCCTTTCCTGAGACTAGCATTGTCAAAACCCTTTGTTAATGCTGCAAAATGTTCTGTCAAATCTTAGAATGTTTAGACTGTAACTAGTCAGGGCACAGAACTGTGAAGGTCTATTTGAAGACTCCTTTCACCCTCATAGGGAACTACATCTGTATAATTATTAAAATAGTCTTGCTAGCAATAAAAATGTATGTAGATATTTTCATTAGAGTGAAGGCAGCTGCTGCCTACATCCAAACTTCAAAATATGAACATATTTACTGTCTGGGTGACATTTACAGTCCTGTTTCCAAAATTCTGTCATGCATCACCAATTAATAATTAAGCAGTCTGTTTATCTTTGAGACATACCCAGAACTCTAGCAAAAGCTAACAGGGGACACATATACATAGAAAGGCTCTTAATCAGAAATTGGTGTTAATGAGGGCAAGGACTGCATTTAAAGGCTGAAACCTAAGCTCCTTCATTTCTGAATTTTTCTACAGAATGTATTACACAGCCCATGAATGAAATTTTTGGTCTCTGAAGTGAATGGCAGCTTTGCCACTGATTATAGTAAAGTCCCACACATAGACCAGTTTGCTATCCTGCTTGTCTTTGCACACAAGAACTTCATTTCAGTGAAAATCACACCACCTCAGTGTTATTGATATTGTTGATACATACACAGATGCAGAAAAGCACAAACAGGTGCATTCTACAGTAAATTAAAAAAATAAAAGGCCCCTGCTTTTGAAGATTTTCAGGTAGTGTCTGGAAGTGGATACTCAACTCATCTCTCTTAGATGTCCAAATTATTTTTAAAATATGCTTTTAGGTGTATAGCAAACACTAGCCACACTAACTAGTACCTTTATCAGAGGCATCTAAAGTATCTAAATCCTCTTCTTCAGTAAGTAGCATGGATATAAACTAAAATTAATCAACAGAATAGTTTTTCTCAGTCTTAGAACTATGAGATTAGTTTCAACAGATGAATGATTCTTCTGGTGAGATATGCTGACTAACTTGTCCTAAAGCAGTTCCAGAAACAACTTGTATTGTTGTAATCAAGTTATTGATGAAGACAGTGCTTCACTTTTCTATTGAAGATTAAAGAATTAAATATTAATTCAGATTACCAATCATGGCATTTTTCTCCAATATGTTCTTTTAGTGGAAAACAACTTTTTCTGCATATGGAAGGACATAACAGCTTGTTTTCGAGCTACAACTCCTACTGCTTTGACTTTCAATAGCCTGGCAATTTTTAAATTAATATGCAGCACCATGTGCCCTGGTATCCACAAAGACCATTAATTTTCCCTGTGGGAGTGGCCCCACATGGTGTTTTAGGACACAGTAACCTCTTGCCTCATGGGTTCCAGGCGGTGCCATAAGACCAGACCGTACCAACTTTTGCTGTTCTGACTGCTGGTCATTACCAGGTTCACACTGGCTTGACAACTTCCTGTTGACTAAGGGAGAAAATTCCTCTATTTTTTTTTCCAAATTAATTGCACATATTCACATCCTCAGGTTGTCCATGAAGTAGCCAACCAGAGGTAGGGGTACAATGCTCTGGACAGGAAAATCATGGCAAAAATGCTTGGTTTGGTAAGCAGTATCCTTTAATGAGGACTGTCTTGGGGGTTTTGAAGTTTAGGCAATGCAGCCTATATATAAATGCATACAAAAGTTTTGGCCTCAGTCTCTTGATTTGAAATCCAAAAAACAAAAAA